CGGATGTGCTCCCCCTGAAAGCAGCGATATCGCATCCGCGCGATATCCGGATGCAACGGGGCCATCTCTATTTCGAATGGGCGAGAGGATGATGAACTGCCATTCAGATGTGGATATTTTTCATGGCAGTTCTTCTCAAGATGATTAGATTCGGGATTATGTTCGCCCCCTCCACAGTAATGAATTACTTTGAAGGAAAATTTTGGGTTTTTCGGAGCGACGGGCGCAGTGGAAACAAGGGCGACACTTTTTGATGAGTCGATGAGCTTATTCTTGCGGTGAGTTTGGAAATCTTGCAGAGCATTTAATACTTTGTAAGGATCACCGATGACTTCAGCGTCGAAGGCGGTCTTGTCGACGACTTGGTCTAGGTCTTGATTCATGAGCTTGCCGAGAATGAAATACGAGCTTATCTTCTTAGGCATGGTGATATCGACGGTATCAATATTGATGAGTGCCTTCCTAGTCGCATTGATATACTTTTGAAGGTCCCCATCGTATGAAAGATGGGAATAGTTCATGAAGATTCTTCCTTGGTTGATTACCGAGTGAGACGCATACTGATCTGAGAGGGCGTCCCAGAGAAGACGGGAGTCGTTTATCGTTTCTGAAGTGACGCATTCTCGATAGCAGTGAATGCTAAGTCTGGGGATGATGATGGCAAGAGCTTCAAACATGGCCTTGTTATGTTTAGCGATGGCGGTGTCGGATGCGTTGCTGGCGACAGGTTTAGAACAAACGTGCCAGAGATCCTTTCCTCGAAGATGAACCATCATGCGACCATACCATGACGAGTAGTTGTCAGCATTTAGGATAGGGAGGAGGGATTCCGATTTCACCGATTGGACTTCTTCTTCTTCCATGTCGATTGCCTTAAGATGTGAGGATCGTTCCTGAGCCGAGCGATCGAGACTGTAAATCTGTGAATGAACAATCTTAAGAATATATTTCTAATGTAAGTATCATGATACGATAACAAGATACAATAAGAAATATATGAAACAAAAAAGACTCCTAACCTTAAGGCAAACAACAAGAGAGCGATGAAGAAGGAAAAAACAGCAGAGAGAGTAACACAATACAAAAGAAGACTGAGATACAATGAAGAGAGCTGTTGTTAATGTCTTGATCAGTTTTGAGAGAGAAATGTCAAGTCTGAGAACCTACGATGGTGTAATTGACCTAGTGCGATTTGAAGGATTTGGCGGGAAGTCGAGAAGGAAGGGAAGTACAGGTCAAGGGTCGGCGAGTGGTCGATATGGAAGGGAATGTACTTGAGTGAGATAGAAATGAAGAGTCGCGTTTGACAGGAATACGAAGACACAGGATCGAGAAGAGTTTCTCGATAAGATATGATGATGAGTAGTGTCAGGTGGAGGAACAGGAGTGAAGCTACAATGTAGAAAAGATAAGGTTGTAGATAACAACCCAGAAAGTTCCCCGACTAAAAGATCAGGAGGGAGGAAAGTGTCCCTATCTTATATCCTTGAGAATCCGAATGGAGATGATGGGTTTTGCTGTGTGTTTGGACGGGGCTTGAGCCAGATGACATCACATGATGTCATAGGTTTGAGCGTGTTGTCAGAGGGTTATGAGGTTAGAGGGATCGTAAGTTGAGCACGATTGTGTTCAGACTTCAACAGATTCGCGAACCTCCGTCAAGGGGGTGGATTCTATCAGAGGTATATCTCTTGTTTATCATAAAACATGTTTGGTGTTTGTTATGATAGTCTTGAGGGGAATGATTGTCATCGAGTATGGCAAACCAGCTATTGTGGGTTGGTAATTTCATGGTATGGGGGTTAATCCATGGTTCTTGAAGGATTAAAATTGCAGCATCCTTTTCTGAATTTAGTAGGCTGTGTGTAACTTCAAACGCATTATGACAGTTGAGTTGGATAATTTTAAAATAAGAAGACGAGGTTTCTTGAAAATAGGAAGAGTTTGATTGATTTAGTGTAAGACAGGAATTGTGGTTTCTTTGGTTTGAGGGGATTTCGTTGTAACTAATCATTGATTAATGATAGTACGACGGAAATTCTTTGTTTTAAGGGGGCACTTTAGACTCATTGGAGAGTGGAGAAAGCGGGGGTTGCTCTCATCAACTTCGAGATTTGGATTTAATTCTTTTTCATACTGAGTACACTTGATGCACGAATCCACCGGGACATCAGTGTTGCAATCACGAGAATTATGTTTGTCTCCACAAAATTTGCACAATGGTGTGTTCTTACACACTTGAGCTGTGTGGCCTACTTCCAAGCATTGAGAACATTGCATCGGAGACTTTTTGTAATGAGCACCTTTAAAGTATAATCCTTTAAAGAATAATCCCCCTTTTTCTATTTTTTTCACAATTTCTTTGTCAAGAAGGTTCATGATTATTGAACCGTGGGCCTTTTTATTGGCTTGTGGATTTCCCAACCATCTCATACTTTGGATGGAATGGGAGTCCATTCCGTTGTTTTCTCTACACAAGTCCGCAATAGTGGCTTTGTTAGTTGGAGTGAATGATATGGGGACAGTGTGGATTATGACCGGGAAGGAGGTCTGAGGGGTGACTAAGGCTGGATCACATAAGTGAGTCCACTCGTGTTTGTGTTCCAGAAGCCAATTGGTGGCAAATCTGGTGGGGGTGAAAAACTTGATATCTCCCAAAGGGAGTGAAATTGCACCTTTAATGGTAATGGGAGTACCATCTTCAGTCTTAGCTTCCATATTGGAAAGGACTGAATTCACTTTCTCAATTATTTGCGCGGGGCTTTTTTGAGCAAAGGCCTGGGCTTCTGGGACCGTCTTACGAATTGTGAAAAAGGAGGGTTTAAATTCATTTATTACTCGAACACTGGGGGGGGCGCGAGCTATGGTGGTGTTAGGAACGGGGTGGGATTTCTTAACTATGGTAGACCAATTAGCAGTGGGGGTCTTGGTAGTGGGGGTGGACTTAGAAATACTCTTCTCGATAGCATCCAATCTGGAGGTTATCTTATCCATCATGGTAAGGGTCTTCACATTGATGAATTCTTCAACCCCAATCAGGGATTTTAGAAGTTGGACTTTGTCCGGTGTTATAATAACACTTCCGTCTGCTTCTGGGTTCATGATCAAGTTTGAAATGATTTTCAAAACTCCTTGATTATCTGGGTTGTGGCGAGATTTGTTTAACGGCGGATTGTTGGAGGTAGATGCAGAGATAGGATTATTGTTACTATCGTTAGCTTCATATGATGTCATCTCAATTTCACGATTATGATGATGAGCATCATCATCATTTGGAGGCATAGTGCCTGTACCGGGAGGCATAGCTTTAGCTATCCGCGCCTGATAAGGTTGAAACCTTTTATGGGGGGGATTGACAGGAAACTCAATGATTAAAGATTCGGACTGAGAAGATAGATGTGATGGGTGGGAGTGGGAGGAGATAAGGTGGGAAACGGAGTTTGGTGGTGAGATAAGAGTAGAAAATACTTATTTGGTTGGTGTAGAGAAGTTCGGAGAATGGGTTTGGATGAGATGAAAGGTGGTCGATTTTTTGTGGTTGAAGTTTGAGATTCAACCCCCCTATTTAAAGGGGCGGGAGAGAATTACAAGTGTTTTGTTGCACGGCATAAGCCTTGCAAGGGTGGAGGCTGGTAAAACTGAAGATGTTGCGGTGGAAGGTTAATTTTACAAGGCTCCTTGCCCATGGGTGGCCTTGTAAGCAAAAGCCTTGTGAAATATGACCTTCAAACCCACCGGTGATCCATATGAAACATCAATTTTACGGGGAAGTGTTTGCACCGTGTGCCAGGTGTCGGAGGAAAAGTACTGATGTGCCTGTACAAGGCAAAAATTACAAGGCGTTGGGAATACAAGCCAAGGCCCTGGACGGAATGAGGCTGGTCAAAATCCAGGTTCAGCTTGTGGGTCGCAATTTTCCATGCGTCTCAGGCAGCAATTCCACACCATTGAATTTTTCCTCCCCTCAGCCATAGTTCCACTCACCTCCTCCGCCATAGTTCCACTCACCTTTCCTTGTAGAAGCCCATCTAAAACCAGCATGAATTCCGCCCGCTTTGGCAAAGACCCCGAGTGGCAGTCTGAAGGTGATTCCGATGGTTCCAACACCAGCTTAGTAGAGGCCAAACACGTCCCAATCCGCCGCTCGCGAGGGAAGCCAAAGATTACCGAACATGAATCAGAAACGGACAACACTGCCAATCAAAATGCAAAGACATTTTTTTTGCCAACTATGAATGAGGGGACCTTCATTGACCACGGCTGTACCCTTGATCCCGAGGGGTACCCCATACTCCCCAATGGTAACACAATTTTTGTCAGACTTCCAGGTGAATCCATCACCAACTTTGGAAATGTTGGTTTCTCAAAGCGAACAGGTAGTGAGTACCGCTCCAAAGGGGCCTGGAAGCTCAAGCGAATATATTGCCTCGGTGTGCTTTCCTGCGACTTACCGGACTGCCGGTGGGCTGGGGCACCCCCCACCGGACGGGTTGACATGAGTGAATGGTTAGAAAGGTTTGTGCTTGCCTTTGGCCTTGTTCTTTTCACCCGGACCTCTTGGTGGCTAACTCTGGTTGGGTGCAATGATGATTTGACAGAAACTCAAGTTGTCGAGGGGCCCATGGTACCTGTCCTGGAAACGTAGTGCACATCGAATGCAAGAATACATTGATCCGAGTGGACGAGCACGTGGCTACATCATGGGCAGTCCTACGTCACCGAGGAGTACATAATCACGCATGGCCGGAGGCTAAGAAGCCAGATCAGCTCTCCCGAGAGACTCTAAAGGCAGAGATTGCCAAGAATCCAAAGGCGGGGGCCTTTTCGCTCAGGGTGGGTGTGCTCTTCTCTTGAGAAAGACTCACCTAGGCTGATGTTCTTCGCCGGTTCTTCATGTTTGCAGATCAGGAAGCCAAACCCATCGGGAGACACTTACAACAGTGTCTTGGACATCCACCCGTCCCTTGGGAATGCCGACCGTTTGCGATATTACCGCAAACTAATGCTCAAGGAATTGAACATTACGCCGAACCATCTTGGAGGCAGTGTTGGCGATCATTTCATCACCGATATGTTCAAATGGGTCAAGTGAATGGCCCACCAGAATCATGCAGACCTACCAGGGGCACTGACATCTTATGGTTTTTTCTAGGCGTGGTTTGCTCATCATCTCATCATCTTACCTGGAAGGCGACGAACATTTTACCTTCCAATCTGAATGGATGCGAAAACGGTTATTAGCACGTGACATTGATCACAATGTTTACAGCACTGGCCTGGTTTCTGATGTGACATATCGGTTCTTTCGAAATGGGTACTTGTTGTCAACATCGATGTATTGTGAAGAACTTGCAAGATGGATTCCAATCCAGCTCACCTGGATCCGAGGACTGTCCGAAAAATACTACCAGGTTCACTTTGCCGTCTTATTCCGGCAGTTCTTGGGGCCAGAGTTCACCACAACCGAAAGGAACATACTAGTCTGCAACATAGTTGATTTCTCCGCCGCACAGCGGGAGGGGTTTGTTGCAGCATATTGGGAAGTGTTTGGGATTTGTGACAAGAAGATCGTCCTTGACAAGCTCCAGGGCTGTCATGAGCACTACCGCGCGCAAGTGACTCGAGTCAAGAGGAACCGCCATGTGGTGATGGCTGATGAAGAGGTATGTTTTGTTTGTCCCTCTTCGTAGCAAAATTCCAGTTACATGTAGCTAATTCTGATGCAATCACATGATTGATATGTAGAGCACATTTCAGAATATGTGCATGGATCTCATTAAAGAGCCGGCCGAAGGGGATGCCAGCCATGAGGATAAGATTGATGCATTACGAAGACGTTTCCCGAAGGCCAAACGTTGGCTGGACTGGTGGACCATGGCCGATGTAGAGGCCATGCTGTTCCCATCTCGCCGTCCAAAGGTTGAAGACACTCCCGAGGGGCAAGAGAGACCAACCAAGACAACTAACGCACAGGAGAGTCTCCATCGTTTATACTACATGTTGTCGTACGTCTGGTGCTTCCTCATGTTCATTGTTGGGAAACTGAACCAAACTCTTGTCTGTTTAAGTGAAGGCAAAACTTGCCTGATGTTGGGAATGATTCAGCTGTATTCATTCATCAAGGTACTAGAGGAAGACTTTGACGCGGTCATGCGAGGCATATCAATCGAATATGGTGCCGCACGAAAGGGGCAAACGGACATCGCTCAGTCCCTAGGATGGGAAAAAAAGCGCAAGAGAGCTCCCAATCCAGCCAAGCCGATTGGAGATCAGAAGGTTCGACATACATTCGTCAATGATGGAAGGGCCCCAGATACAACAGATGGACTTATCCCAGATCTTGCCAAGAAGAAACTCGGAAGACCCTCAGGATCAGTCAACATCGACCGGAATCCGTTCTCAACCTACACTTCTTATCGAGCCTCTGACCGGGCGCACCTGGCTAATAGGTGCTGGTTGGCTGCTTCATTAGAGACCTTGTACGCTCTGTACAGTCCCCTGTGGCATCATGGTTCAAGTGGTACAGGGACATCGTTGTTCACCTCGCTCGTCAAGCACTTCTCCGCTCGGACAACATACGAATTAACCCAGCTTGGTAGCATTCGGGGTGTACTCTCCAAGGCCCAATCATCACTTTTTATTCAAGCTCAAAACCGGTCACCTAAAAGCTTTGTTGAAGGCGAGTTCGCATCCGCAGACCTGTTCATTGAGCTTGCCTTGGATCCAAAAGCCAATCCCAACCGAGCGCTGAAGGGTCTGTTTGAAGTCGAAGAGAAACGCATCCTTGTTTGTAATGTTCATCCCGCGGCTACTCAGCAACTTACCCGTCTGTTGTACATCATCAACATCCGAAGGGAGACTTTTGATTACAACAACATTGGTCATGCGAATGTTGCAGAGCTCTTGAGACAGTGGAACTCAGTCGGCTTGCATGGTGTGTGTGGTCTTCAATGCAAGGCTTGTGTGGCCGCTCAAGAGATGAGACCTCGGGAATTTGAGCGATTGGGATCGGAGATTGGTATGTGTAGAACTACGGACGGCCTCACCCAAGAATATCGGTACAATGAGCACTCAACCCTGGCTTTTCCCAACGGCGAGGCCCCTCCGCATCTCTATTTTTTTCTGGATGTCGCAACGGTGACGGATCCATTTGAACAACAAAAATTCATGGCAACTACCGATTGGCCTGCAACAATCTTCATGTCAGGTGTGAGATACACACTTTTTGCAAGGGGTTTCTGGAACGGAAATCATTACTGGAGCAAGGTCCTCAAGGGCCTCGGTGGGATGGTAGGTGTTTGGCTTCATAATGATCAGGAGAATGATGGGTATGCTCGCTTTGTCACTCCTGATCCCAGCAAGCTTGGTGGGCCAGCTCCTCACACCAGCTGGCTCATGTATTCCCGCGGCTGGACTGGGAGCGAGCGCGAACACGTAAATGAGATGATGGGAACGATCAGAGTGATTATCCACATGCGACTGGTCACACACCGTTTGCCAGTCTCTCGACATTGCTGGGAACCTTCAACAACGACTTACCCGTTTTGGAAACTCAGACCACCCACAGCGCAACCAACAAGCCACTCGTGGAAGGTGAATTAGCATCACAATCTCAACTTAAGAGGCCAGGTAAGTCACTCGTTTTTTCATGTTGTCGATGAGGCCATCTCCTCTGTTGATTTTCTGACTGGCTGTGTGATGGTCTGAAGGTCCCTTGATAAGTGGGCAGGAAGGTGACAATACACCCCATGGCCCCCCAACCAATCAGGCAAACAGCAAGATCTCTACGACCGAAGCGTCCACAAAGACACCTAAGAAGCTCAAACTGAAGATCAAGATGACCACTGGATGCTCAACAGCGGCACTACCCCCAACAGTGGCTAAGCAAGAAAGCGATGTGGTGGCGCCTGCTGGACGGCCTCGCAAGGATGGCGCTCGATTGAGGAAACGAGTGACAAGGAGCTCTGGGAATTAAGTGGGGCATTGTCTTGTAAAATGGGCTCTGGCTGCTTTGCAATGATGATCGTTCACACATGTTTTTTTTACATCGGTGGGCCTTGCAAATTGGGGGCCTCGCAACTAATGGCTTGTAAAATTGGCTCGGGCTGATTTGCAATGATGATTTTACAAACGTGCTTTTTACATTGGTGGGCCTCGCAAATTGGGAGCCTCGTAACTTTGGGGTATTTGACCTGAATGTGCACTTTGCGGGTTATTAGACTTGCAAGGCTTTATGCCTTTTCAAGGAATACCTTGTAAAAAATCAGAGGAGTGATGCTTTTGTGACTTAATTGCGACGGTTATTTTACAAGGCTTCGGGTTACAAGGTGAGGGGAGGAAATCATCGGTTGTAAAATTCGTCATTTGAGGGGGCAGTTGGGAATTAAACAAGCCATGTGAATTACGAGGCTTAAGCCTTGGAAAATAAGACTTGTAAATTTCTATACCCCCCTATTTAAATGCACACCTTAAAAACTACACATGGATCAGTTTAGATTTGCTTTTATGTTGAGGCAGATCGAAAAGCTGACTGGTTGCAGGCTGGTTGGCTATGTAGGAGCTTGATGGATCGGTCAAGAGATCTCCCAGGAGATCGGAACTTTGGCCATCCGATGTAGCAGTCCAGCCTGCAACAAACAACAACTGTTATAACACCATCGAGTTGACCAGCCTCATCGATCGACGGCCTACTGAATCATCCTCAAGCACCATGTCGCACTATTCCATCCCCGGATTCCGTCGGGAGGAGACTGCAGCCAAGACTTCGGCGGTCCGAATGTCGCTCGGAAACCCACCAACAACAGCGATCCAACAAGCACTTGGCCCGACAATCTCGATCGAATCCTACCATCGATCCGTCCAATTATATCACACAACCCGGCGAGCATTGCGAGATCCTGAAGAATTCATCCGTGAGACAACTCAGGAATCCTTGTCCGATGACGAGCGCGAGTTTATGGTCGAGTTGGTCCGCTTGGAACCGACGCTCTTCTTCGACAAGATCATGGAACGCTTCTACGATTGTAACGGGGTCGTCCCAATGGACGATATGTATTCTTTACAAGAACTGCTCGTCCAGGAACTTTGTGTGACCTTGGATAAAACTCGGCCGGCCAATAATCGCAAAAGCTTGGAAAAAAAGTACCAATACATCGCCAGAATAACCAAGCATCCTGCCAACTTCCTGGTCTTCGTAGGCAAGCACCTATCGAATTTTTCAGTTTTTTTTATATATGCCTATGATAACATGCTTTTTCTTCTTATTTTCGTTTGTATCTATTAAAGATGAAACTGCGATACGCTTCCCAGATCGTCGAACACTCTATGGAACTAGACAAGCCTCAATGGCCTCCAACGAAAGTCAAACCCGAATCAAAAAGGGTCCCTTCTCACTTATTCTGGCTATCAGCAAATCCGGATTCCTCGAGCTGACGGTGAATGAACACCAGACTCAACCCCGCGACTTTGAAAAGTTTTTAACAACCCACTTGGTAGATTTTTTTTTTTAATTAGAAAAGTTCATTTTTTACAATATGCGAAAGATAAGTTAGACTGAATTATTTTCTTGTGATGTGATGTGATGGTGATGTGTATTGTTATTATAAGCTTCCACATATGAGTCGATATCCGGAGCGAAATTCGATATTAATGATGGATCAAGCAAGCGTCCATCGAGGCCCACGGGTCGAAAAGCTATGTAGAAGAGCCGGCGTCCTGATCAATTACCTGCCCGCAAACTGTCCCGAATTGAATCCGACCGGCCCGTTTTTCTCGATCATCAAGCGCAGCCTGCGTCGAAGCCGAGTGCTTCTCAACGCATCCGATCCAGGTCTAGAGATCTATCAAACTGCTCTTCAGCTCCTCAGCCCTGAACTTTGTCGTGAGTTCTACAAGCAGGCGGGCTACAACGGCCCACGTTGGTTCGCTGATGATGGGCCTGATGATACATAGTCAAACTCGCTCTTCCACATTTCCCTTTCTTTTCATCCCCAAATTTCCATCATGTGTATTTCTAATAGGTTTGTGGCTGCTGCTTGTAACCTTGCTCAAGATATCTGGATCAGGTTTTTTTTTTATTTTGGTGACCTCAAGGACTCATCAGAGACCTCCTTAGTAGTAGGCTGCACCTGGTTAGTCCAATATTTGATCAACAAAAGTACCAGATTCCTTACCACCATCATTGTATAACTGTAACGGCAAGCAACAAACTCATCCCAAACCAGCAGATCACCGCACTAGGGCTTTCAAGTAGCGAGTTCAACTCACAGGTGTTGCACCAGCTGTCTACCGTCAGTATCACCTTCTGAACGCCTTAGAAACCATCGATGAAGCGTTTCGTAGTCTTTCCAACCGTCGTCGCAGTTGTGCTGCTTGTGATTTTTTACTAGAATCCGAACTGAGATCTGCACTTAAGCTTGATAACAAAATGGTTGATGTAAGAACAACGACTCCGACGACTTCTGACTCTGACTACTCCGACACACCTGCGATGATGCAGTTTTTGTTTTGTTTTTGATTTAGGATGATGAATGATGGAGGACACGCGTGAGATTTAGATCAGTCTCTTCTCCACTTTTTATCTGAATAAGCGTGTATTATTATCTGAGAAAAATAGGTCATAGAAATAAGAAAACAATCTTGTTTAGCGAACCTTGATAACAAAATGGTTGATGTAAGAACAACGACTCCGACGACTTCTGACTCTGACTACTCCGACACACCTGATTAGAGAAAAATGAGATAAATGAAAATAAGGAAACAATATTAGAGAAATGTTATCACGTGAAAAAGTTATTAGAAAAATTTGAGATGATAAGATAGTTTTAATCATACCTGCAATGATGCAGTTTTTGTTTTGTTTTTGATTTAGGATGATGAATGATGGAGGACACGCGTGAGATTTAGATCTAGAGAAAATGAATAAATAAGAGAGAAAAATGAGAAATAAGAAAAAGATTCAGTTTGTTGTTGTTGCAATGTTTGGTTGAGTGATCTTAGAGGATGTTGCTTACCAGTCTCTTCTCCACTTTTTATCTGAATAAGCGTGTGGGGAAAAGACTGGTATCGGGGCGGTCGAAAAATCTTTTATTGGGGTGCGGGGGAAGAATCGGTTAGGTTTGTTTTGATGATGTTCAGATGCGAGTGAAAATTGACATTGTTACTGCATATTCATAATGAGAAGTATATTGCGTAATTCAACAGTCCCCCTCAATTTGAATGGCATCTGTCAATCCAATCATATTCCTGAATTTGTTGAAAGGGTTCTTGCCGAGGTTTTTGGTCAAAATATCTGCAATCATGTTACCGGTGTATACGTGTTTCATCTTGAATGTTCCTTCTTGAACGTATTCACAAATCCAGTGGTGTTCAATGGCGACATGTTTGACTCGACCGTGGTGGACGGGATTTTGGGCAAGGTGTATGGCGCTTAGGTTGTCACATATCATTTCGAGCGGTGTTTGGACTGGAATCTGTAGCTCCTTCATTAGTTTCATGAGCCATAGCGCTTCTTGTCCTGCTTCAGTGATAGCACAATATTCTGCCTCGGTTGATGACAGTGCAACGGTTGGCTGCAATCTGCTTCGCCAGCTGATTGCGCCTCCCATGAACTTGAATACGTAGACGGTGGTTGATCGTAATGTGGTTCTGTCACCGGCCCAATCGGCATCACTTGCCATCGTTGGAAAATTCCAACTCGGGTTACCGGAAAGGGGTTCTTCTCTGCCGGAGCGGTAGGCAATCTTCATGTATTGGGTGAATTTGAGGTAACGTATTACGTGTATGAACGCATCCCAGTGATGTTGATTTGGCTTTTCTAAGAATCGGGACAATACTCCAACAGCAAAACTGATGTCGGGGCGTGTGCAAATGGCGATGTACATTAGTGATCCTACGGCTTTGCGGTACCGGTTGTTTCTTGCTGTGAATCTGTCTGATTCTTTGTCAGCCTATGTGATGCCAAGACACGTGTCCTCTAGCTACACAAGGTGCAAAAATTAAGAGTTTTTATGGCAAAAACTCTGGGATAGAACTGGTACAGGTAATTCAAAAGAATTACGTGGAATTTATGGATTAAATCCAAAAAGTGGCCAATTTATATTAATAAAATTAATATAAATTAAGCCAGAGGGGCCTGATAAATCAGGGGTGGTTTAATCCCTCTAAGGTATCGTGCAAAAAGCAGAGGATTTAGGTACCTGATACACTGGGGCCTGTAGCAGGTGTGGTTTAAATCCCAGGAGATAATTTTTAGGGGAAAATCTTCAAGAAAGGGTTATTACTCACTAGTAATAATCCAAAGGGGTCTTGAGGATTTTCTTAGTAGAAACTGGACAGTTGGGAGCGCTCAGAAAGGTTGATTTTGGGTGCTGGGTGATAACTGGGGAGTTTCTTGAGGGTTCTTGAGGCTTTAATAACAGCAATTATAGTAGTAACTAGGCTAATTACAAGTGTAGGGGACTTGTAAATGGTAAGTAAGTTTCTATAAGGTATTTTAAAGATGGGGGATCATTATTTGGGCGGTCAGAAGGCCCTTTAAATACCTGTGGAAGGCCTCAGGGGTTGCTCAGGGGAGCTTAGTAGGACTTGGGGGCGCTTTTGGGCCCTTTTTGGCCCACATGGTGATGCAACCAGGGCTGGAACCTTGGGGATAATGTTCCAGAAGCTCCAAGGGGTCATTCAAGAAATTATTACTGCCAAGAATGTCCCATGGGAACCTGTGGATAGGGGCTACTCTGTTACGTGGAGCAGGTTCCTTGGAAATGGGCCACAGAATATTCCAGAGGTGTCTTCTGAGGCTTGCTACACGTGTTACCCACTGGAATATGGTTACTGTAGTATTTTCGTGAATATTCTAGCTTGTTCACATTCTTATTACACGTGTGGGGGCTTTGTTGCCACGTGCAATGGGGATTCTGGGGCTTTTGTGGCCCAATCCATGGATACTGGTGCGCAGCATGACTACGTGGCACATGGGCTTGGAGACAGGACTCCACACTGCTCTATCTTCTAAACCGTGCACAATACTCCAATTCTGAGACTGGATTTGGAGTATATGCATTATGCATTATGCAGAAGTGTCACAGTACCCGTGATCTGGGGGTACCTGTTAATTATTCATGCTTGTATTACAGGGTGAAGGAGTTAGAATTTGGGGTACCTTTGGCTGAGGTAACCTAGGTAAAATTGTATGCTGATTCAGAATCTGCAATAATATTCAAGGTTTTGTTTATACTTTTTAAGTTATTCATTTATTTTTATGTATTTTTTATCTTATTTACATAAGTAATATTGTTTCTTTTACTTATGTAATATTTTTAATTTATACTTAGATTTTTTATGTAATTTATTATATTTATTTGCTATGACAGGTTGTCTCTGCCATAGTAGCAAGCTGACATTCCCTACCCCTAAGATGAGTTTACTCATAAAAAAGGAAATAGTAGATGAGAGAGGGAAAAAATTGGGCTACCACTTTAGGAGGTTCTTTTGGAAACTCTATAACTCCTTAAATGTATAGCTCCATCCGGGATATTATTCTCTGGTAGCCATTCATCCTTATCTGCAGATTGGTTCTTATACCTTACCAGGTAAAGTCTAGTGTCTTTCCCTTGTACCCTCTCTTTCTTATCCTTGAGTATCTTATGAACTTTGAATTTCTCAGTAGGTGGAGTTTCTAAGACTGGTACTGGTTCTGGGACTACAGGAGTGTTTGCTGTTCTTTGAGTGTAAGGTTTAACAAGACTTACTGGAAAAACAGGGTGTTTTCTAGATAACTCTTCACTCAATATGACTTCTACAGCATTTTTCCCGTGTAGCTGTTTAATAGTAAAAGGACCAACAAATGAAGGTTTGAGTTTCTTGTTCCCACCAAGGTTATTAAAATTTACGGTAGACAGAAGTACTTTATCTCCAATTTTGAATTCAGGTTCTTTATGACTCTTATCCCATCTATTCTTATTATACTCTACAGCATCTTCAACACATTTCTTGGCATGTAAATTTGTGGAATCTAACATTTTCTTGAAATCCAGTGCTGTGGGGTGTATGTCAGCCTCTGGGTAACTAACCTGAGTATTTAATAGTAAAAAGGTTGTTACTATGAGTTGACTGAAGTTTTTGAGCGTGGTGAGTGTTAGGTAGTGGGTGATTAATACCAGTCCTGTAAAGAGGAGGTTTCACTCTATCAGTATGGTCTTTACTGAGAGGCTTGCTATCAACAGCGCATCCGGATCAATACAAGGTATTAATAGGCATCCAGGGTACTAAGACTCACCTGGGATTGATTTGGTTATTCCCAAAAGGGAATGGGCTAACAATACTTATTAAGCTTTAACAAAATTAGTTGAAGATTAACAGGTATTGTTGATGGGAATATTCAGCAAGGCTATGAATACTGTGGATAAGTTGAGTAAGAGTACTGAAGCTTAAGA